GGTAGGATTATAGAGGGTGGAAAAAATTGAACTAAACTTTTAATATCATTAAACTGTGATAATATCTTATAATTAGAGCCCTCGACTAGGGGTATTAAGGTTGTTGTTATATAAATATATCAACTCAAAATGAGTTTTTTGGTTAACCAGAGTTAATTTTTAAAAAATAGTATCGACAGTTGTTATTGGTATTTTGATTTTATATTAAAATAATATTTAAATTAAAATAATTAAAGTTAATTTAATATAAAAGTAAGAAATAGATGATGTGAAGTGATAGTTAGTTAAAATTATACGAGTAAATGAATAATACATTAAAATTGATGTGATGTGTAAAAATAATTAATTTATATTATTTAATTATATTAATAATATTAAAAATATTAGAGTTCGGTTAAAATTAATTTAAATTTTTAGTATAAATTAAACATAGCAATGCCCATGGGCCATGGTTGACTGAATCCGGTTCAAAGCTGTATGGCTATTGCGGCAAAAAAATGGAGACGAGTGAAAATAGAGCAGTGAGTGAGAGAGAGTGACCAACCCCTACCCGCAGCCCTTAAACCCTAACCAAAACTCCAATACAACCCTGACAGACTACACACAGTCACCTCATCAATCATTAGCCATGCCTTTCTCCACGATGTTCCTCCACAACAATTTGAAGCTGAACATCAGGGCCATGTCTCTGGCCCACCTCGCACCCCCGCTAAAGTCACTGACCGCCATCTACACTCCATGTCGCCGGTTACATATTTTGTGCCCGAACACCGGCGGAAAAACTGGTCCAAAACCCTTGGTTTTCTCTAGCTTTGCTTCTTCTCCTTCGATGGGGATGAGGCGCTATAGAAATGCCTCTCCGGTGATTTCGCTGCCACTCTTTTATCAGCAGAATTTTGGGTATGGAAGGTTCGCATACGATGAGTATGTATCGGAGGAAGAGTCTGATAGTGATTCCCAGTCTCCTTCTAAGCAGTTGGTAAGCTGTGTTCTTCTTTTCATTCTGTTTAGATGGTTGGTGGATTGGTGGAATTCAGAAATGGTTCTAGTTTTTCCCCCTTCTCATCCAGACTTAAATTTACTGTTTGGGCTGTTATTATATTCTTACTGTATATAATCCGACAGTCTCATAATCAAATCAAGTTAATGGTTTCATATCCTATTTACGTTAAGTATAAGCATTACTGCATCGAATGTTCTACATGCATTTGCAAACTGCTTGTTTATTGTTGCCAGTGTGACTCAACTCTTGATAACGTTGAGGAGTGGCGGAGAAAGTTGACCTCACTTGTCCACCGCAATGACGAGCAAGAGGTTGTGTCAAGAGATAAAAAGGACCGGCGTGACTTCGAGCACCTTTCTGCGCTTGCAACTAGGATGGAATTGTACAGGTATTTGACTGATATCAAACCCACTCACATAGACATGTTTTCTTTATCCCAAATGTTTCTAAAGAGTCTCTTTTTTGGACAGTCGCCAGTATGAGAAAGTAGTTGTTTTTAGCAAAGTTCCACTGCCGAATTATAGATCGGATTTGGATAGCAAGCGTCCTCAGAGGGAGGTACCTGTTTATTATTTGAAGCATTTTATTATCTTTTACTGATCACTCTTTCTATCTTAGTAATTATGAAGTAAATCTTTTAGCAATGAAATGAAAACATGGCTACAAAATGATTATAATACATCTCAATCAGCATCATGAATTCCAGTTTTGATATCCAACTTCTGTATTTTTATTCTTTTGCCAGGTGATATTACCATTAGGGTTGCAGAGGATGGTAGCTTCATATCTTTCTGCCCACCTTTCAAAAAAGGCTGTGACTAAAGAAAAATTTGTGCGTGATGCCATATCAACATCTGATGCAGGCCAGACTCAGTTTCTTGATGGAAGGTTTGATGCGCGAGAGGATCCCTCAGCCCAAAGTGTCGTAGCTGAGAGATTTTCTAAACGTAGGAGCTTGCAAATGCTCAATAAACAACAAGAGTGGCAAGTTAGTTCTATCCAGATTTAAGTGATTGCTAATAGTACTTTGTATTGTTTTTATAGGTGTATATCATTCTGTCATTCCGTGTTCATTTTTCATACATGTCCAGTATCAATAGATGTTGATTTTTACCTTCAGCAATTGCCTGCTACTCATTGTTCTCATGCATGCCATACATGTTGTTACATTCTCCATTTTATTTAAGCTTAAATAATTACCAATTATTGTTCATAGGTCAATTTAAATTATTCATAAAGTCCTCTATTTCTTGCGCTGGGGATAGACTCCACTATGGTTGCAAGATTGCATATCTAATTATGATTCCGTGTTGCACTCCGTTTTAGAGGATTTCTAAGGGCTTGCTTGTTTACAAATATATTGATATTTGATTGTTTTTTTTTTTTTTTTTTTTTTTTNNNTTTTTTTTGGTTAATCAGAGTTAATTTTGAAAAAAGTTGGTATGGTTAGTTGTTAGTTGGATTTTAAGTTTGTATTAAAATAATATTTAAAATAAAATGATTAAAATTAATTTGATGTAAACCTAGGAGATAGATGATTGGAAGTGATGGGTAGTTAAAATTATGTGAGTGAACGAATAGTGAAAGTTGATGTGATGTGCAAGGATGATTGATTGATATTATTTAATTATATTGATAATATTGAGGATAGTGGAGTTGAGTTAAAGTTGAGTTAGATTTTGATTTGCAAACAAGCAAGCTCTAAGTATGATACTGTTAGAAATTATGTTTGTCCACATCGATTAGTTACTGGCTTATTGTGTATAAGGGTGGGTTGAGCACTCTCTCCCTTTGAGCTAGAGTTTTGGGATGAGTTCTACCCATGCTATCAGAATTCTCCATGTTAGTTTGTTTGACGGCAATATTGGGTTTGGAACCGAGTACCTGACCCATTTTGCTTGGCATGCTGAGCGTGAGGTGGGTGTTAGAAGTTACGTTTTTCCGACATCGATTAGTTACTAGGCTATTATTGTGTATAAGTGTGGGTTGAGCATCATCTCCCTTTGAGCTAGCTTTTGGGATAAGTTCTACCCATACCCATGTATTAGAAATCATCATTGCTGGATGTCAGCATAGACTCAATTGATTGTAAGCAAACACTGTTTGATTGAAATTGTTAACTGATGCACTTGAAATCATTTTAGGGCGTAAATAATTTATTTTGACTACCTATTTGTAGGAATCTTCAGAAGGCCAGGGGATGGTAAAGTTTCGAAGAAGTCTTCCTGCATATAAAGAGAGGGAGACATTATTGAATGCTATATCTCAGAATCAGGTGCCTTTATGATTATGATTATGCAATGAATCAACATTAAAGGAGTTAACTGATTTGTGGTGTTTGATTCTTCTATTATTTTATGAAATTTGATTCTTGCTCGAGAAGGGTTATAGAAGTGCTGATCAGATTTGGTGCTTCGTAGGCAAAAAATATCGTGTTGCGTTATGTTTACATTGATGAGTGTAGTCATGATTTAAACTCTGAATATCGTGGTTTTTCTTAGGTTTGACTAGGTGACTATTATTTTATGGTACCTCCAAGGCATTTACTAGTTTTGACAGATTGACTGGCAACAAGAGAGAGAAATATGGAAATTGCTGTTTAACATGCTATTCTTGTGGCCTAAATTCTTTTTTTGAGAAAAGAAAAGAAAAAAACTACACTAAATGTGTCATTGTCGACACTTTTGCTTTCACAGTTTCTCACAGAAAATTCTTTGATGCATTGTCCTCTGCTATAGTTACCATAATCTGTAATTCTTTACCTAGATGCTCTGGCCTGCTTGTTGCCTTCTTTCAATCAGTGTCCACTCTTACTTGTAGCACTATCATACTGGCCAGTCCAGCCTGTACCCATGGGTCAAACAGTTCAACCGAAATTCATACGGGCTGGGAGGAATTATGCCCAAATCTGTGCATATTGATGGTTTTACGGGCCTGCTTGACTGAACTACTTCCTTGTAAGAATTACATTTTCAGAAAAGATAAAACGTGGTAGTGTGTGTGATGATTGCTAAAACCATGTTATAAATTTTTTCTTAGGCATAATTAAACACGCTTAATAGAAACACAGTAGTTTCTAGTCATTTAACATAACACCGAAGATAGGAAATTAGGGACCTATGTGGCATGCATTGCCCAATATGCTAGCAATGCCCACATGAAGAGTGACAACTATTTGAAGGTTGTGGAGGCATTGCTTTATGTTATAAATTTTTTCTTAGGCATAATTAAACACGCTTAATAGAAACACAGTAGTTTCTAGTCATTTAACATAACACCGAAGATAGGAAATTAGGGACCTATGTGGCATGCATTGCCCAATATGCTAGCAATGCCCACATGAAGAGTGACAACTATTTGAAGGTTGTGGAGGCATTGCTTTAGGTGGGTCTTGTCGTGGGCTTGTGGTAGTGCATAAGTCCCATAAGTGGACGATTTTGAAGATGGTTGTTTGGGGTTTGGGATGAGGTGCAGTGGTTGCATGGTGATTTAGAGGACAAAATAAATCTTTTCCTATATTCATAAGAGCATCCTTGAAAGGCAAGTTTCATATTTTTTCGCTATGTTCGGATAGTTATTGACCCTCTAGAATTTAGAAGTCTTGTATTAGTGACCTTTTTCTCTTGGCTTTTGAATTTATTTTTTATGTAAGTCATTTACCTGTTTTCCTTTTTTCCTAGTGCTAGTTTTGTTTATAATGCCCTTTTCTTCATCGCCTCACTTAGTTTGTTCTAACCTAGGGAATTCTTAGAGTGATTCGGAGTATTGTTTCTAACATTAGAAGATAAAATAATTGTCTTTTGTCAAAATTTGTGCCTAGTAAATATATATCCTGATTATGTTTTCCTAGTACTTCAGCATGATGAAAAAAACAATAAAACAAGTTTAAAAATTAAGTATTAACATAATAACATAAATATGTTTGGGTTGATTAAGGGTGTCACACTAGCGGAGCCGAGACGGGTAACTCATGTTTGAGCTTATGCTCGTTTAATAAACGAACAAAAGGCTCAACTCGAACTTGGCTCGTTTAAGCTCATGAAAGCTTAGATAGGCTCGGCTAGACTTGTTTAATAAACTTAAAACCCTAAGGGCATGCTTGTTTATAGAATTTTTGGTTTTGATTGATTTTTTTGTTAACCATAGTTAATTTTGAAAAAGTTGATTGAGCTAGGTTTGAGTGAAGTTTTGAATTTATATTAAAATAATATATAAAATAAAATGATTAAAGTTGATTTGATGTAAAAGTAGGAGAAAAGTTATTGGAAGTGATAGGTAGTTAAAATTTTGTGAGTGGATGAATAACATAGTTTAAAATGGCGAGGGCTAAATCGCCTCGCCACTGCCTGAGGCGACCCTGTTCGCGAGGCGCTCGCTTCAGGTCGCCTCGGCTCGCCTTTTCACGTGGCGAGAGACGCCTGTGAGGCGCGCCTCGGCACCTTTCAGAGAAATTAAAGGTGCACTCCATTTTTTTTTTTTTAAAAAAAAGAGAATAAAATTAAAAGGCTCTTTCTTCACTTCATCTCCCAGACCCACAAACTGAAAACTACAATTTTGACTGAGAATACGAAAGCTGAAGGTGAAAAATCCATAAATGGCTTCTCCCCAAACTGGGGTTTCTGCAAAAGAACTCCTTAGGCTTCTCAGATTTGAAAATTGCAGAAACCCACGGCTGACCCATCCATTTCCGGCCTCCTCTGAACTTCCGGCCACCATCTCGCCGCCAAGATGGTCGGTGATGCATGTTTTTTCCTTTCTTTTCCTTTTCCCTTTTCTCTGTTTTCCTGTTCTACCTTCTCTCTTTTTCTTCTTTCTTCATTTTTTACTTTATTTATGTTTACTAGTATTATTTATGTTTACTAGTATGGTCAATAGTCAAAGGTGAAAGGGTGCAACATCTTTATTTCATTTACTTTTACTTTACACTTTTTATTTACCCTCTTAAACATTTTTCTATTTTATGTTACTACATTCTTTTTGTAATGTTACTAGTATTCACATTTAAGTTTTAGATGCTTTTAGTAATTACAACCAAATTTAATTTATATTATTTTCCTTGAGGAACTTAAACTTAAATATATGATATTACTATCTATATAAATATATTTTTTAAGCTTTGATGGCTTGTGTTGCCGAGGCCTCGCCATGGCGAATCGCCTCGCCTCGTGGCAAGGCTATGGGCGAATCGCCTCGCCTCGTGGCAAGGCTATGGGTGAATCGCCTCGCCTCACCATTCGCCATTTAAAACTATGATGAATAGTGATAAAGTTGATTTGATTGGTATTATTTAATTATATTGATAATATTTAGGATAGTGGGGTTGAGTTAAAGTTGAGATAGATTTAAGTTTGGACTGAATTTTTTTGGGAAAAATTTATAAACAAGCAAGCTCTAAACGAGTTGTTCGTGAAAAACAAAATGTTCTTTTGCGAAGAAGGTCGACTCTATTGTGTATTTCATAAGAAATACAAAACTAGAAAAATGAGTTGGTGGTGAATAAACTCATCTCGATTCATTTAATAAATGAGCTCGATTAATTGTTCGAGCTTGGTTTCATTTAAGAAATAAATGAGTCAAGCTTGGACTTTCATGAGAAGAATCAAGATAGTGTTCTCGATCGAATCGGTTCGAATAACACTTTTAAGGTTGATTCAACATTTTTTAGTGGATTAATTTATTCTTTTTTTTTTGTTTACACAACATTACTGTAAAACTTTTTACTTTAATTTTTCTTGCTCAATAACTATTGTTTACTATTAGAGCTAATTTCAATTTAGTTTAATATATTTTTTAAATAAAGCTAGCATGGCTTTATTGATATTAGTTATTTGACAACGTTCGAACATTTTATACAAGCATGATATTTATTAGTATATAAAAATCTAAATAAATCTAAAAACGTACATGTTGAAAGTTTCAAAAAGTCTCTGAAAATTCCAGAATGTCACTGAAGTCATTTACACAAAGTCCACCAAAGTCACTCACATTGGAAAGTCCTTAAAAATCTCATTTGAATACAACCTCCATAGTCATAATTGTTATTTTTAGCTATCTCCTGAAATTTAAATGTAATTCTTGGTATGAAATCTTATGAACTATCTCCATGTCGGGAAAGGTGTAAACCTGAGGCGAGGATAAGCACAACAAGATTGTTCATGAATCTTTTGTATTTTTTAAATCTACAGACATGGTGCAAAACTAGAAGCTAGAAAAATCGTTCTTTGTTATTCTTGTGGGATTTTCTCTAATAAACTATAGATTGTTTTGATGATTATCATTTATTTGAAGATGTCTCCCCCGCCCCCATTATTCTGAGAGGAGTCTTTAAAGATTAGAAAGTTGCTCATAAAGTGGTGGAGGGTCTGTGTAACTTCATCTTGCCAGTGATGGAACTGGATTTATGTTTTTTTTTTTTTTAAATCAAAGGGTGGGGCCTTTAACAGAAATAAGGATACTAGAAGGATATTGCGTAGCATTCGGAGAGCTCGGTTTATATTGTTATTGGAATGTTTTACAATGGGTTTACATCTCCTACATTGTTTTCGTTTTAGAGAATTTACTTTTTATCCCTTCAAGCCCCATGTGGTTGACAATCCCAACTTGAATTTGATTAATTGATTTTCTTGTCAAATCTGCTTATTCACATCTCTCTCTCTCTCTGTCGCCCTCCCTCGTTGGTTACCGTGAGTAAGCTTCCGGTTATTATTTCCATAATTGCTTGATCGTTTGGGCATTTTGAAAATAGAATTTTAAGAAAGTCGCCAGGTATCAGCTAGAAGATACCTTGACCTTTATTATGAATGGTTGGTAGGTGGTTGTTGTATCTGGTGAAACTGGCTGCGGAAAAACTACCCAACTGCCACAATACATCTTAGAGTCAGAAATTGAAGCCGCTCGGGGCGCTGCATGTAGTATTATCTGCACCCAACCAAGACGAATATCTGCCATATCAGTTGCTGAGAGAGTTGCCGCTGAGCGTGGTGAGGAAATAGGAGAATCTGTATGTCTCTTGCCCATTTCTGCTTAAAATAATATTTTACTGTCAAATCTGTTATAATATATACCCTTTCGCTTTGTTTTATTCTGAAGGTCGGTTATAAAGTTCGCCTTGAGGGAATGAGAGGGAGAGATACCCGTCTCCTTTTTTGTACTACTGGAATCCTTTTAAGAAGATTATTGGTTGACAGAAATTTGAGAGGCACTACTCACGTTATTGTTGATGAGATTCACGAACGTGGAATGAATGAAGGTACTTTATAATTTTATACATACTCTTTTATTTATTCTTTATTTTTTACTCACGCAAATTTCTTTGCAGACTTTCTTCTAATTGTGCTGAAGGATCTTCTTCCTCGTCGGCCAGAATTGCGTTTGATTTTGATGAGTGCAACCCTAAATGCCGAACTTTTCTCTTCGTACTTTGGTGGTGCTCCAATGTTTCACATTCCTGTAAGTTAGGTTTCTTGGTTAAAAACAACAGTGAATATTTTTACCATACTGATGCGAAAGTGGAAACAAGAAACTAACCATACTACGTTTTTCAAAATTATTATAGCTAACCAAAATAATTCATTATTATTTCATAAACAATCAAGCCCTAACATTTTTTAATTTTCTTGCTTCTGCTTTATTGAAGGCAGGAAAGCTGGAAATTTTTATGTTATGGTTTTAATTACTTATTCTCTTTCTTAAATCATTATTGGTTGTTAACCCACATTGACTGCTGTGATTTGTTACTTTTCACTTTCTTTTCTGATTCAAGTCTATTTTTGCATCTTTCGTATTTGGATCTTAATGCTAGGGTTTTACATACCCTGTTCGGAGTCATTTTCTGGAAAACATTCTAGAAACGACTGGTTATAGGTTGACTCCATATAATCAAATTGATAATTATGGTCAAGACAAGATGTGGAAAATGCAGAAGCAGACTCTGAGGAAAAGGAAGACCCAGATAGCATCAGATGTCGAGGTATATATCTGCATAGAATTTTTTTTTCTTTCTTTTCTTCTTTTTCATCCTCCTTTTTTAAACTTTCCTTCTTTCTTCTTCCTTCTCTGTAAGATCGCATTTTGCTTGTTGCTGTCACAACCTTTGCATTTTTCAAAGTATAATTAGTATGTATCTCTGAATTTGTAACAGGACGCTCTTATGGCTACTAATTTTAAGGATTATAGTCCGCGAGTTAGAGAATCATTATCTAGTTGGAATCCTGACTCAATTGGCTTTAATCTCATTGAGCATGTTCTCTGTCACATTTGCCGCAATGAAAGGCCTGGTGCTGTTTTAGTCTTTATGACTGGCTGGGATGACATAAATTCTTTGAAAGATCAACTTCAAGCTCATCCGTTACTGGGAGATCCAGACCGAGTTCTTTTGCTTGCATGCCATGGTTCTATGGCCAGTGCTGAGCAGGTTAGTTAAATGCCTTACAATTTCCTAATCATTTTTATTGGCTAATAATTGTCAAAATTTGAGAAATGGGCTATCATTCACGGGTTGTATAATATAAACAATCATGCTGATATTTTGTGTGAGTGGACACATTTTATTGAATAGAAATAGCACTTGTAAATTCTGGCTGGATAAGGTTGTGTGAAAAACAATGTGACTTTTACCTAATAGGAGTGAGTATTTGGTGCATGGTAGTATAGGTCTATCGGTCTATCGTCAGTCTATTTCCTTCCACAGTCTGTTTCTAACTTTCCATTTTGCTGTCCTTTGCTAGAAAAGACATAAAATTTGAAAAGGTTAACTTGTAAAATTCAAATGGTTCTAGAATTGCAGGTTTACTTAATTTGTACTGTTTTTATTTCTCTTAATTTTTTAATTTCAAATGATCAAATTTTGAGACTGTTTATTACGAATATTTAGCTTTTGATTGTTAAAATAACAATATTGCATACAACGACAAATAATGTGATTCTGAAGTTCCTTATTCGAATATGGATATTTTTCTATAACTTGGTATATAGTCCGACACTCTGGACAACAAGATATAATTTTCATATGATGTCACTTGTTTGTAAAGCTAGTTTATCTCCCCTCTGTTATCTTTATATTTGCCCCAGCATTATTTCTGCTTCAACTTCTTAATCCGATATTCTCTATCATATCCCTATTTTTTTGGAAAACAGAAATTGATATTTGATAAACCAGAAGATGGAGTCCGGAAGATTGTTCTGGCAACAAATATGGCTGAAACAAGTATCACCATAAATGATGTAGTTTTTGTGGTTGATTGTGGGAAAGCAAAAGAGACTTCCTATGATGCTCTAAATAACACTCCTTGTTTGCTTCCATCCTGGATCTCTAAGGCTTCCGCTCGCCAAGTAAAGTTTCTTTCATATTTTTCTTTTTTATTTAGCATCTTTCTTTTTTAACTGCCTTTTATAAATTTGAAGTATTTAAATAAATGGCTATATGGTTTAACTTTAATGCTGTTCAGAGGAGAGGTAGAGCAGGGCGTGTTCAACCAGGCGAGTGTTACCATCTCTATCCTAGGTGTGTACATGACGCCTTCGCAGATTATCAATTACCAGAACTTTTGAGAACACCGTTACAGTCTCTGTGCTTGCAAATCAAGAGTCTAGATCTTGGGAGCATTTCAGACTTCTTGTCTAAGGCCCTCCAACCACCTGAACCTCTATCTGTAAGCTAGATGATTGATACATAACTTCCCCTTTCCCTCTCCCATGCCTCTATATCTGTAGGCTAAATGATTGGATGTTTTGTCTTATCTGCTTCTCAGGTTCAAAATGCTATCGATTATCTAAAGATGATTGGAGCTTTAGATGAAACCGAAAAGCTTACGGTACTCGGTAAATATGAAAGGCTTTAACTACTGGTTTACTGTTTATAGTTATGGTTGTTGCCTTGGAAATTCATTGTTGTATTTATTGCCAAAATCAAGAGAAAAAAAGGAAGTGTGTAATATAACGGTTCTTGTTTTGTTACCAGGACGCAAGTTGTCAATGCTTCCAGTTGAGCCAAAGCTTGGAAAAATGTTAACTTATGGTGCAATTTTCAACTGCTTGGATCCAATAATGACCATTGTTGCTAGCCTAAGTGTCAGAGATCCATTCTTAATGCCATTTGACAAGAAGGATGTAAGTGACATTAAAATGACGCATCATTTGGTTTTTTAACTTTTAAATTTTTAATTTTTTATGCATCCCTGCTCTGGTTATCGACCAGCTGTTGGATATTTCTTTAGATCATCTGAAGGATATTGATTTCGTAATCTTAAGAAGTGCCATGATAATTAATAATTATGACTGACTGCCTTGTTCATTGTATTTATGTGCATCAGCATTCCCCATGCTCTTAGATTGCATTTGGATAAGCTTCGTTGATATTTGAGAGTGGAATGCTGCTATCTTATGCTTTAGACTACATAGAAAACTAAAATCTGTGACTTCGAGGGTTTCGTTACTATTGCTAGCTTGTTGAGTGGATAACAGCTGGTCAAATATGCTCCCGGCTTTTGTTTTTCACTACCTAGTGTCGGGATTACTTGCTTTTGCTGTCATGAGCTGCTTTAAGGTTTTTTGTTCTGGACCTGGCCTCCCTCTAGAGAATGTTCCGAGTAAATGTTGAGTGGCAAAATGCTGTGCTCATTCTTTTGGGTACCTGAGCATGCATTTATCAATAATGCGGAAATCTGATCTATGTGCAATAATCTGGAAGGCACCGACAATAGCATGAGATATTGTGTGTTGAAACCAAACAAGACATTTACATCGGACCGTTGCTCTTGTCTATTGATTCTTTTGGTTATGTGTCTCAATTTGTTTCTTCAGGTTACTATCCGCTTGGTGTTTTGTGTGAGTCTGATCTCCGCATAAAATTCTGGAAGCCACCAACAATAGCATGAAAAATGAATATGCATAATGTATGTTGATATCGAAATAAGACTTACATCCCGTGGATGTTCGCTGCCTGTATGGGTGAAAGTCCGGAATCCATAGCTGCACAAAATCCACCAACAATAGCATGAAATATGAATGTCCATAACCGATCAAAAAAAGAATACGAATGTCCATAATATATGTTGAAACTGAACAAGACATGCACATCTGACCATTGTTCTTGTCTATTGATTCTTTTGGTTATGTGTTTTAAGTTTTTTTAGGTTACTGTCCACTTGGTGTTCACTTTTCTAATGATACTTAAATAAACACTCTCTTTCATTTGGCAGATGTTAGTTAAAGTTTGAGGACTCACCTTTGATATTCTCTTTCCCTTCTTGCAGCTTGCTGAGTCTGCAAAGTCCCATTTTTCTGCACGTGACTTCAGTGATCATCTCACGGTTGTCCGGGCATTTGAGGGTTGGAAAAAGGCTGAAAGTGAGCAGTATGGTCATGAATACTGTTGGCGAAATTTTCTTTCTACACAAACATTGAGAGCTATTGATTCCCTTAAAAAGCAGTTTCTTTATCTCCTCAAAGATATTGGTTTAGTTGAAGATATTGAGAGTTGCAATAAATGGAGCCATGATGAACATCTAATTCGTGCTATTATATGTGCGGGTCTATTCCCTGGAATATGTTCTGTTGTGGTGAGTGGATCATAATTGTCCCAAGTCTGACATCTTTTTAATTTACTGGCCGAGGTGTCCTGAGTCTGAGTTCTCCATCTGTAAGGTGGAAAAGTACAATCTCTCTGATTTCTGGTTGTCTCTAATTCACAAGGTGTCATATGGGATATATGTAATATATATAAATCTGAATTTATGTTTGCCCTGATTTCTCTTGTGGTTCAGTTTGTGTTTTTTACTGGCCATTCTCTAGTTTGGTCATTTATCGTTTCATGATAGTTTTGGATGGCATTGTTACCTTCTACTAGTTGTGGGATGTTAAGGACTAAAGAGAAGTATATATGTGCAGAACAAGGAGAAGTCAATATCACTAAAGACGATGGAGGACGGTTCAGTGCTTTTGCATTCGGTGAGATATTCAGTGCCTCCGCATGCCTTCTAGTGCTCTGGTGGATTTGTTATATTTTATTTTTTTTCAACTTAGACTAATAATCCCTCCATTCATTTGTCAGAGTTCTGTGAATGCCCAGGAAGCCAAAATTCCATTTCCATGGATTGTTTTTAATGAAAAAGTGAAAGTCAATTCTGTATTCCTCCGTGATTCTACTGGTGTATCTGATTCCATGGTTCTATTGTTCGGTGGAAATGTTTCTAGAGGCGGACTAGTAAGTACATGATTTCCTTGGTGCCGACATTATAGTATTAAATTTTATGGTTTCACTAAGTTGAAAGGCGATTTGCTTGTAAAAATGCACCTTCTTTATTTGTAGGATGGCTATATGAAAATGCTGGGTGGGTATTTGGAATTCTTCATGACCCCTGACTTGGCTGCTACATATTTGGGCATTAAGAAAGAGCTTGATGAACTAGTTCAGAAAAAGGTATTAACCTAATCTCTTCTGGCTGCATGCTGTATATGGTTTCACTGTCGTTTTACAGAAATTTTTTAATGATTTCTCTTCCTTGTGATTGGCAAAGATAAATCTCTCTGGAGATTATATTCTTTTCGTTGCTCCTCGTAATCGTATCTTCTTGACCTGCAGCTTTCAGATCCGAAATTGGACATGGAGCGTCATGAAGAACTTCTAAAAGCTGTGAGATTGTTGGTCACTGAGGACCACTGTGAAGGCAGATTCGTGTTTGGGCGTCAGATCTCGAAAAAAGCTGAAAAAGATATTCAATCTGCTTCTGCCAATGGAGGCCATATTAATTCGAAATCTCACCTCCAGACCTTACTGGCCAGAGCTGGACATGAACCGCCATCATATAAGACGAAACAATTGAAAAACAACAAGTTCAGATCGACTGTTATGTTCAACGGACTAGATTTTATGGGACAGCCCTGTGGCAGTAAGAAAGAGGCGGAGAAAGATGCTGCTGCAGAGGCTCTCACGTGGTTGACTGGCGATAGCCATTCATCTGAAAAGACAGTCGAGCACATGTCCTCCATTCTCAAGAAAAGCAAGAAGAAACAGCAAAATTTTGCTGCAAGATGGAGGTAATTGAATGATGAGCATACTTCATTTTTATTCTTTCTTTTGGATTGCACATGACTACATGAAAAAATAAGCGGCTATGATTCTATTGGTTGACAACTGGAAATGGAAAAAGCTTCGTCGCTGGTGAAAATCATCCAGCTTGTTGAAGTTTTCTGGGGAAAGGCTGTATCTATATCAAGTCATCTGCTTGCACTTCCAAACAGTTACATCATGAGGTAGGTAGTGTTATCTGTATATAATATATATAAATATATTATACTCGCTTATTTGGAGTTACGTTGTTCTATGGATTTGATACCTGAGATGCGGTGAGCAGATTCTTGCG